GAGCATCATGGCACTGCCCTGCCTGCACACTGCTGTTGGGTTTGGCGTAGCATGTGGAGATGCGTGGTGAGGGATTATTGGCGTCCCGCCGCCGGCACCGCACGCAGGTTTGGGGAGCATGCCACCTCACAGTGTTCTGGAGCCTGCAGCTTCCCTAGAACAGAGCACTGTGCAGCAGGGAGGGGGGGACTGAGGAGCTACAGAGGGATGGGGCAGTAGTGGAGCAGCAATGTCAGCTAGCGAGGAAGGGGGGCAGGAGTTCTGAGCACAGCACTGGCTGAAAGGAACTGAGCCATAATCCCCGTTCATAGGATCCCCCTTCTGTGCCTTCGGGCATGGTATTTATCCTCTCCCTTCAGACTGCCTTTTAAGTAAACGTGGAGAGACTGTGCCCCTGCTACTCATGGGATCTGTGATTAGTCAGTATCTGTAAAACCCTAGGAAAGCGAAATGCATGTTAAGAGCTGATACTACTGAGAATCCCCACAAGGTGACAATGAAAACAGACGTCAAGCCAAGGGCTGAAATTTGCTGGAGAAAACTTTGGAATTCAGGCATCAAGAAGGCCCTTCCAACTACGCCTGTGCAAGATGCCTCCAGAATAACTGCATTTTCAAACAAGAGCCCATGCCTTAGAAAGAGGTGCACTGAGAACGAAGCCCACCAGGAAGGCCCAGAGTGCATGTTAAACAGTAAGGATTTGTAACATAAACACAGCTCACAGGAAGCATCTGTGCACAGACTCTGCATGGACCCTGCTGCCATCCACTCAGAAGTTCATTAGTGCGCTCTGATCTGTCCCACTCGGAAATGGGAGAAGATTAAACCACACAGGGAATGTTGAGCATTAGGCCGGCTAACATGAGGTACAGTTACACCCCAGCTTTCTGTGAACTCAGAGTGTGTATAGAAAAGCCCTAAGAAAACATTCCACAGCAGTCAGTAGAAAGCCACTGACAAAGCAAGGCAGCATAAATGATCAGCTTACTAATTGCCTCTGACAGAGTTCAGCTGGACAGTTTCCAGCAGCATCAATGCCAGGGCTAATCATTTTTGGTCTCAGTCAAAGCATTTCTGCAGACCCAAATCTCTAGCAGCCTCCTTAGCCATCTTCTCTGTCATGGCCATGAGGGATGGCCAGCAGCCTGGGGACTAAGGGGTTAACTAAGTCCCCTGTACCTAGCCAAGTAGCGGTCAGGCAATAGAAATGCAGACAGGGATGTCAAACTGAGACAAAGGAATTTTGGGGTTTTCCCTCCTTTCTCTCGGAGCCAGTTTGCTCTCTAGATACTGAGGGAGACAGAAGACATGTCTCTCTCCAAGAAAAAGACTCTTCATAATGTGTAAGTAGGGTAAAGTCGAGATAAATCTGTCAGGTTTTATTGTTTTCCGGTTTGGATCTGATGTCTGTGCTGTTAGAAAGGTTTTTTTTCCTCTTTTACAACTAAGTTTTGGCCCATGGGGGAATCCTCCATGAGTATATTAATTGGTGGTTCTTACCATCTAGCCATTCCAACTACACTTGTAACTGGGGTATTGTTTAATAATAAAAGTTCTTTTTTTTTTAATTAACCTGATAATGATTCATTTCTGTGTCCTGGAAAATCAGTCTCTGGATATCTGCATGCCTCTGATGAGGGGACAGCAATCACAGATTGCAGCTTGTATTTTCTCATTTCTTTTCAAGCTCTTTGAAGAAAAGAGCTTGGGTTACCCTGGGGTTGGTTTCAAGTGTCCACCCCTGTTTGTGGGTTCAAATGCACTTGATGGTGGCAGCGGATTCCCCAAAATCCGGGTATTAGGATTTGGGGGGGAATTTTTATACCAAAGCCTGCAGAAATCAGGTTTTGGGTTGCTTTTGTGGGCCCCCTCACTTCTGCATTCATTGTGCCAGAGTGGGGAACAGCCTTGACATTCTTCCATTCTCCTTCCCTGCTGTTTCAACTCCAGCATCACTTCATTTTGGTTGCCTTCTGACACAAGAAATAAGGAAATACAAAATGAGAGTGTCACATTTGAACAGCTGTTTGCAGTTGTCAGTATGACAGCAACATTCTGGCTAGAAAAGGAAGTAAAATATGCTTTAGCATCAGTACAGGTATCAAATAGCCATGTGATTTATTAGTCACAGTGCTGATATGAGGGCTGAGCACGAAGCAATGATCACACTGCCATAGAATACGGACTAAAGGATATCCAAAAAAAATTAATTCCATTCATGCAGGAAGGACAAATGCCACAACTGATGAACAGCAACAAGGAAATTCACAGGCTAGAATGGAAATGTAAACAAGTCCTTTCGTTTCTGAGTTGCTCTACAGTTAAGGGAGGCCCCACTCAAACACTGATGTCTCTGGGTATTTGCCTAAGCAAGGACCTCAGATTTCTCTCTTTGAACTCTGCTTTGTCATGAACTTGGGGAGTGCAGATGTGTAATATGCAGCTGAAGCACTCTGTAATTTTGCAGTAAATAGAAGCCCTACATGCTCATTATGCACTAATCTTTAACAAAAAGATATGCGCAGAATTTTGATGAGAAAGACACAAGCAGCACCTCAATATTTAACCTGAGCATGAGAGGGAATGAGTACACGAAAGGTGCTTCAAGCCAGAGACTGGTTCTACCTGTTGATGTTCCTGAGTTACAGGACTCAAGACAGAGTCTGCAGACACTGGAGAGGAATCATGTGAGGTAGAAGATGCTGTGCTGGTCTGCGGCAGAACAGTGAAGCTTTGCTGTCCAGATGTGCCAGAGTTTAATGGTGAGATTCGTATTCTATCCTCTTGGGTGATAACAGGCTGCTGGCCAAGAATCAGAAACACCAGGTCTTCCTTTTCGCGGCACATCTCGGTGGAAACCTCGTGGAGTGCCAAATAGTCTCGGAGATCCTTCACCTTCATCTTTATCAACTCCTCCCGCTGAAACGCTGTTGCCTGAAACCGCTGGCAGAGATGGCAGAGAAGGGGACTGTTTTCAGGCTGGCTTGAACAGGAAGTGCAGAAATTCTTTTTACAGTCAAAGCAGATGTGCTGCTCAAAGAGAAGAGGGGGAGAGACAAGATACAAAGTGTTAGAGTGGTTATAGAACAGTATTGGGGGGGTTAACACAACATGTAAACTAGAGATAATATACACTGTACTTCATGTCCTAGACAAATCAAACCTTATTTATGAAAAATGTGTCAAACATACAACACGCGCTGCTGACTGAAAGAAAATTATCAGAAGAATTTCTGACATGTGGTTGGGTTCAACACACAGTTCTTCAGATAACATCTGCAATACAGATCACAAAAATGTTTTTAAACAATAATGAATTCCACCACCACTGCAACAAACGCCAGTAATACAGTCTGAACCCATCTGGCCCATTAAACCCCAGATGAAATACAACAGACCTAGCAATACATCAGGTCTGTGTGCTGGTTTAAACATTTATAACTTATCTCCTGAGGGACACCTTCACCACAAGGAAAAGGAAATAAGAGCAAGTTTTTACAACAGGAGCCAGTTTAACAAAATAATTTAGGCATCAAAATAAGTTTTTCAAAAGAGCCCAGCACACTGACAAAAAGGTTCTGGAGAATCTGACCTTCAACGTCACAATGAGAGCTACTGGGTGCTGAACATTTTGGAAAAACTGAGCTCTTGCAAGAGCCAGCCAGCTTCAGGCACAAACAGACTTGAAGTTCTACTGGTTCATAATTAAGTTCTTCTATAACCTTCAGCATCCTGGGCACAGGGGCTTGATTCTCTGAGGTTCTGAACACTCGCAGCTCCAGCCGACTTCAGCTAGAACAGTGTTGTTCAGCACTTCTGAAAGTCAGGGGAGAGTACAGAAAGAACCTCTCTAGTCCGGCAACATCCGTGGTCCAGCATGATTTGAGTGAGCCAGATGTCCACTTATGAGTGCGGCCAAGTTTCCCACAGTCCCATAAAGTTTGTTTACAGCCACCAATCCTGGCTCTGTGTTCTGTGCTGTTATTTAGCTCGAATTTACTACAAATGTCTTCCAAGAGCCCAGTAAGCAGTGGAAGTGTTGGGAATGCTGCTAGACAATACTGACCACCTGTGGTCCAGCAAGGTTCAACCTGTACTTACAATAAGATTGTCACCAAGAGTCACTTCACTTCATCCTCTCTCCTGACTTTCTTTTTGTTTTATTACATAAGAACATAAAAACGGCCGTACTGGGTCAGACCAAAGGTCCATCTAGCCCAGTAGCCTGTCTACCGACAGTGCCCAGCACCAGGTGCCCCAGAGAGGATGGACTGAAGACAATGATCAAGCGATTTGTCTCCTGCCTTCCCTCTCCAGCCTCTGACAAACAGAGGCCAAGGGCACCATTTTATCCCCTGACTAATAGCCTTTTATGGACCTAACCTCCATGAAATTATCTAGCTTCTCTTTAAACTCTATTATAGTCCTAGCCTTCACAGCCTCCTCTGGCAAGGAGTTCCACAGGTTGACTACACGCTGTGTGAAGAAGAACTTTCTTTTATTAGTTTTAAACCTGCTCCCCATTAATTTCATTTGGTGTCCTCTAGTTCTTCTATTTAGGGAACTAATAAATAACTTTTCTTTATCGGCCCTCTCCATACCACTCATGATTTTATATACCTCTATCATATCCCCCCTCAGTCTCCTCTTTTCTAAACTGAAAAGTCCCAGTCGCTTTAGCCTCTCCCCATATGGGACCCGTTCCAACCCCCTAATCATTTTAGTTGCCCTTTTCTGAACCCTTTCCAAGGCCAAAATATCTTTTGTGAGGTGAGGAGA